AATCCGTATGATTTTTCTCGGTATTTTTACTTACCTATATTATATTGTTCGCTTGATTGAGTAATACTTTCTTTAGTAGTAATCAGTGTGTAACCGACATGATGTGAGAGTCACGTAATAAATTATTTCAAACAACTTATACTACCGTGTAAGTGTTTCGACGAAAAGTATGATTTACAGCTGTTACGCGTGCAGTATACGAAATGAAAATTGAATGCTATTATAGAACATATTTACATAAAATCGTGTGAATTTATTTTTATTAAGTGAGAAAGACAGAGTATAAACGTATATTCATAGGCGAAATTAGACATTTTCATTAGACCAGGCCACTTTTCCCGATCAATTCATATATGAACTTAAATGGTTGAAATCAAAACAATAAAATACACATTTTAATATTATATAAATCAAGAGAAAATTACAAAAAAAAATGTAGAACGTTAACAAAACTAGACGACGATCATATGGAATCATTTTTTTAATTTTTAAACTTAATTTTTGCCATGATTTGCTCAATGCTCAATATGGATACGTTAATTTATCCAAATTATGTTCCTGTGTCATAGTAGTACGAAGCTTAGTGTTTACATGTGTACCTATAAGCTTTGAAAATACTCTTTCACGTGAAGCACTACGAATAATTCCTGGTACTACGAAGAGTTCTGTTAATCCTTTTGTTTCAGAATCACTTTGCCATAACGCCCTTAATCAATACAACCAAAATGAGCATCTTTACAAAGATCAAAATGATTTTTCAATATAGGTATCGATATTCGATGTCATCATTGTTCATTGTTTATCATTGCTTACTGGTATACGTTAAATTATCTATAACAGTGGCTGCACCCGTCTCCATTAATCTAGCACGTCTTTTTTATTGTTTTCATCTATAATAATGTACGCATAGCCGCATAGGTAATGTTCTAAGTCATATTAATGGTATATTTCTTCCAATTTTATCCAAAAATAAATACAATGTTCGGATGACAGGGACTTCTGATAAAATTGTTACTGAATAATAACAATTATTGTTATTCTTAGAAATACATTTTTTATGATATTAATAAACCTTTATAAAATATATAAAAAAGTTATATATTTTTTTTTTTTGTAATTGTCCATTTAATATATTTCGTAAACCGTATACATTAATACGGGTTTTGATTAGTCTTATTTATACGATTAACACAGTTGAGTGTAGTTTGTACAATTTATATTAACAATGTTAGTGAGTATCTGTATCTTTCTTCAAACTTGTACTAAGATATTATATTGAAATAGGTTTTTGAATATTTTAGGTATTGTCAATAATCAATATTTAATATGTTACAATTGAAAAATAGAATTTTACTTGGCAATGTATTCGTTTTGTCCTTTATGCGGTACGTGATCAAAACCGAGCGGCTTTACTACTGAATTTTCAATAGGTATTCATTTTGCATCCAGTGAAAAAATGTAAAATGACGATCCTGGTGGATGACATTTTTCGGCAACTCAAAAACGATCGAACATTTGAGAATAAAGAATACGGATAGTTATTATAAGTTTCGCAGTTTTTAATTATGAATTTAAGTTTATCAAAACATATTATTTATCTAAACTTCTCTCGGGATTGTCTTTCGTTATAGCATTATGATTTATCGCTGCGTACGGATATAAATTTAATTCCTATATGTATGTTTAATGCATATATCCTGCCTTTTATTTTTTTACGTGCACTCCAAGTAACTATTATTTTATATTAATATTAATTTTACGCTGAATATTCATTTAAATTTAATCATTCGTTCACATGTGAAATTATAGTTATAGCTGTTGGTAGCTGTGGGTTAGCTGGATATTTTCATTTTCAAGTTTTTATCATTATTCAATTCGTTACAAACAATGTGAAATGTATATTATACAAATATACATATACATTATGGTTTACAATAAACTTAGCAGATCAAGAAAGTGTATAACATTATAGAAGTGATTTAGTATTAATATACTTGACGGAAAAATTTAATGTGTATTTGTGTATATAAATTTAACTTTATGTATTAATGTAACGTATTGTTGTATCAAGGTAATTATAGGTACCATATTTTCTATGAACTATGTACGTAGTCACTTATTAGTTCGTTCTATTCAGTGGTGGTAAAATGATTTTGTCATGAAGGGAGGGGGGTTATAAGGATAATGTTTTAACAACTACTACTATTTACATCATTTTTTTTTTTTTTCTTAGTATATTATAATAATATTGAAGGGAAATAAGGTAATGTGGGATATATCCTTCTCATCCACTTTGTTTGACCGCCACTGATTATATTAAAAAAAAAATTGATTGTATTTGGAAAGACAATATTATATACAATAAATGAAAACTATTATACTTGAATAATTTTGGACAAAAAAAAGAAAATATAAGTTAAATACAAATTTTAACAGAATAATTTAAAAATAAGTGGATATTGGATAGTGTAAAGTGATTATCCACTATACCGATTTCTGTTACGTTGAACTTCAGCACCGAAAACTTTTGGAAGGGAATTGAAATTTCAGTTTCCTCGGTAATTTAGTGTGATAAATATTAAGCTGTTACAGAAAAGAATGCCAAAAGTCAAAATTAAATTACTTATTTCGCGGTTAAACTTTTGTACAGGTAAATAGGTGCGTTATAAAGATGTTTTTTGAGAAAGTTAGAAAAAATGTTTCAAATGAAGTACGTGTATATCAACTACACGCATATAGTAGTTTCATAAAGTTTCGATGACATTCACTATAATACATTATATTATGTAGCTAGGCAACGAAAAACCAAAACGAATTTTCAAAAGAAAACACATAAAAACAATAATTCCATCAAGCATTTTGCCAGTAGAGTAGCCAGGTGAGAGGGGGGGGGGATATTTTTATCATAATAATCGTTTCCCGTTTATGTTACTTTATGGTGATGTATGCTACACAGTATTATAGTTTATTTTGTCATATTTCATTAATTAAGTAAATAGTAAATTTTCAAAAAGGAAATTAACGTTAACATATATAAACATGTTACATTTTGAGTTTATTCCCTCCCCCCCTTCATATCGATAAATCCTGGCCATGTCCGTATGATACGATATTAATGTGAAACGTATTATAGGTACGCACGGGCTTAACTACAGGTGCACATGGGAGGGGGGAGGGTTGGCAAACAATAGGAAAACAATTGATTTTACAAACATGGATGCTAATGTTCTGATGATTGAACGAAAAGCCCGCGTATACAATATACCTACAGAAAAAGCGAAATTCCAACTAGGCTTAGGTGGATGCAAATAGCCCAAATTTTTAGGTGGGCTTAACACTCTGAAAAATATCGATTGTGTTTACTTAGTATTTACTTGATAACATTACAAACCAAGTGATTCGGGCAGTATTAAACGAGATTTAGGGGAGGATTAAGTTCTCTCAAGACTTCCTTCTTTGCGGCTAAATAAGCATACTAACTAGTTTTACCAGTTGACACTTTGACAGTACTGCTATATCAGTAAATTATAATTACACAACAACCAAACAATACTATATGTAGAACACGTGTATGCGATTAAGGTCCTTAATCAATATCTCTCGGCGATTTTGGGGGAACGCGAGAGTATTTAGTGAAAAAAAAAAAACTCACGAGGCATGGGAATTGCTCCACCTTTGCCCTACATTCGGTACGGTAATGCAGGTACTTAAATAATGTAATAAAACAAATTAAAAAAAAAAAATCAATCTGAATTTTTTTTAAAAAGAACTGCATAGATAGTTGAAATATTAAGTTATATACGGTTATAACTCAATATCGAGGTATGAATACTTTTGGCGCAGAAAAATGACGCAGTTCAATTTGCACGGATTAATAGATATACTATTATCGCATAATATTATCTTGAGTTTTATGCGTTTATACCGTTCGGTAATAATACCGTAAAAATATATCGAGTTAAATCACTGTTTTTATTCATATCAATCGTATTTATGCACAAAAAATGATATAATATTTAAAGATCCTTAAACGAGATATCTTTTATGTTGTAGTATAGGTATTATTAGACGTCAGTTATCGGAACATGCGTAGGTAGGTAGTAATTTTAAGAGAAATATATTAATTCCTACCTATACCAGTTATAATACCTTTTTAATACGTATTATATTTAAATATATTAAAGTAACTTTTTGTACCCTGTATGATATTAAATTAGATAAACCCCGTGTTCAATTTTCAGGAACTTCTGTTTAGTCAAACAATGTTATCCGCATAATACTTATCTGACTTATCGAATAAAAACTAAACAAAAACAAGAAAATTTCAATTGCCCATAAATATATTTAGCTCGAAAACCACCAGAATATTTTGATGATTATATTATGTCTATAGATAAAGCTAATATTCGGTGAAAATGTCAGGACTCTACGATTATTTTTAACTGATTTGCAAAAAAAAAAAAAAAAAAATTTTAAATAATGAAACCGATAATGCCGTCAACCTTCCCGTTTTTCCAATGAGTTTTTCCCGGTTTTTCTGGATTATTTTGAAAACCACTTGGAAAATCAAAAAAAAATGCCTTCCTCAATGCATCAATTCGGATTCAAAATACAACAAAAAAGGTACTCTAGTCAAAGTGTATACATTTAAAATAATGTGCATATATATATATTATAATAATATTTTTAAAAAATCCGCGTCGTTCGCGAGTTGTGGCTTGAAAAATTCGGAGCATTTTCACTAACCAAAAAGCGGTTTCCGAGAAAAAAAAACCGCATCTCATAAAACTAATAGATTATTCGCTTCGCCCAGATTTATGTATACGACCGCCTAACTTTGATATTGGATTATTGAACCGAAGTAGTTATAATAATATATTACGTTATTATGTTATTATTCGCATTGGCGAAAGTTTGTAAAATAGCGGAGTAATGCCGCGGAACGTCGACAAAGTTACCAAGTTATTTCCGACTTCAAATTAAATTATAAGTGTTTACGATTAATCTTCTTCTTCTCCTTCACCTTCATCCCGGCTACGCGAAGTTGGCCAACCTCGTCCTAAACTTCCACTTAACTGCCACATCATCCTCGCATACACCGCAGCCGTCCTCAATTCTCTTTCAATCGTATCCAACCGCCTGTTTTTCGGGTTTTTTCTTTTCCCCTTTCCTCCTACGTCTATTTTCATTACAGTTCTTACTTCTTCTGACCCCTCTTTCCTCACGACAAGCCCAAACCATCTCAGTCTATTTTCTCTCATTTTGTCCACTATCGAATAGTCACACCTAAAAAGCTATCTCTTATGCACGCATTCTTTATCTTATCCTCTCTCGTCACTCCACCCGTCCATCTAAGCACTCTCATCTCCGCTACTCTCATTCCATGTTTATGATTTATGTTGCGAAACTATAGTCGTAGTATGCCCGTCATACACGACGGTTTACGGTGGATTCCGTGTTTGGTCGGAAATCGATCAAAATCGGTAAATCAACAAAACGTTACGGACGGACGAACGGGTCACGGTTTTTACAATATTATGTAGGTAATATGTACGCGTATAAGATTAATCGAACTAATTTCCGCGTTAAACACTATGAACTGCATTTGAGAATATTTCGACAAATAATTCACTCAACGGTTAGGTTAGGTTAGGTCAGGTTAACTTAACGGTGACGTATGTATTGAAAACGATCAAATAAAAAATAATTTATGTTACAATTGAGCGCGCGTGCGATTTCTCCGCCGATTTTAATCATATGGATTGGGTTGGCGTCACGTCGTCGTCGTCCGTCGGTTCGGAAATTCTAACATCCGATGATAATGTTCAGTCAAACGGAAACATCCCGAAAACGGAAAAACTGACGGAAATTTTAATACGATATTTTCGCCGCCGTAATTGACACTGACCAGACGCCGCCCATAGTTGATGCTGTAACAATACGTCTTCTACCGGCCGAAAAAAACCGAAACGCCAAAATATACGGTATTAACTACTGCGGTGCATTTCCCGCCGACGCGACGTGTACGGGCGAAGACGTTAACGCTGAAAATTGCATTTCGACCAATGTGTATATTTCGTTTTTCATTGGCACAGAATCGGAATGTACGTAATAAAAACAAAAAAAATACGTCATACAGGTTGAATTGTACGTTGTGAATATATATATATATATATATTTATTGACGCGGGTTCGAATTTTGAAATTTAAAATTTCAGTAAATGTGTCGAACTAAAAATTGTAAATAATCGAACCAAATACCCAAATAGTTCGGTTTGAAAATCATTTGATGCCGATTCTGCGCGGTCACCAATACGATTTTCTGTGGTCTGTGGTAGGACAGAGCGGCCCTCATAATATAGTAAATCACGGTGCCGAGCAAGTTTGAGAACCTAGGTTTTTGACCTAACCTAACATGACCTTTTTTGCTCTTTTAATACTCGAGTTCGACGAAATGTTTTAAAAGTTCGGTTCGGTTCCACTTTAAATATCAGGGTTCGTAACGTCTCCAGTGTTAAAACCATCGGGTTTCCTCGGTTTTAAAATAATTAATAAAAATCGCGAATGATGCGTTTAGAACACTGTGATAAGAAAACGTTTTTCAAATAGGTCGTTAAAAAAAAAAAAAAAAAAAAAAAAAAAACCAGCCGGGACATGATATTTGGACGATTCATACACCGTAAACGTAATACAATTCCAAACCCTTTTCGTAAACCGTATTGGAAAACCAATGTTGCTATACGAGTATAACAACAACAACAATAATAATAATAATAATAATAATAACAATAACGAAGCAGTTAACTAGGGCGCGAACCGGAATAACGGCAACGAATAATAATAATGTGCAATGGGTAGGGGAGGCGCCGGCGGGAGAAAGAACGAGCGCGGCGCGGCGCGGTGGGCGTTGCAGGTTTGCGTGTACATAGTAATCGGCTTATCATTCATTCACAATCCCGAAACGAACGAAATCTATAATTCCGCCAACGGGGGCAGCGACGCGTAGTTGGGCGAGGGGTGGGGGCAGGGCTGGCGATAGTGGTGGGGACGGCGGTTGCGGAGAGGGGGGAAGGGGGTAGAGTAATTTCGCGGTCCAGCGGGCGGGCGGCGGCGGTGACGGGGCGACGGTTTTACGGAAGTTTGTGTTTGTGTACGGGCGTTGGTGTACGGGTCCGGGTGCCGTCGCCGGGGACGTTTGGTGGAGAGGGGGCACAGGAAGGAACGACCGTATATAGCGCCGTAGTACGTGACTCGCGCGCCCCGAGTCCCGTTGAAGCATAACGGATGCATAACGGCTGTGTATAGCGTGAAATATGCCGGGACGCGGCGGCGGCGGCGGGACTGGGACCGCGTGACCGGTCACCGTCGTCGTCGTGAATGCGGCGCGGTGGCGGCCGCGACGACGGACGCTCTTGCGCGGTGCTCGGCCGCGGTACAACGGGAACCCGGCCGAAAGTGTGCGTGGGCCGGCGTTACACTACCGCGCCACTACGAAAGCCCCCGGAATCGGATGCAACACACACGCTCGGGCGCATGTGCGCAAGCTCGCGAACACTGGTAGGCACCTGTTGTAGATTCAGTGATCGCGCGCGCAAATACATATTATTATATATATATATATATATATATATAAATATATATATGTATATGTATATATATCCGCATCCCGTTGGTCCGTCTCCCCACATCACCCGTCCGCGCGCCCCCCTACAACCCCCCGCCACCGGGAAACGTTTGCCCCGTCGGAACGGCGGCGGCGGCATAATAGTTGTACGTGTCTCTCTCGCTCGGGGCGCACGGGGACAGAAAGTTTTCGCGGACTACGCATACGGCGTACACCGTTCAGTACGCCACAGGACACCGGCACATCGGCACGTTGCCATCTGCATCTCCGCGCGTCCGTCGCCGTCGTCGTCCGAACAACATCCCCGTGTCGTCGTCTCGCTGCTCCTCCCCGCCCTCACCCGTCCCCCGACTGTCGTTCACACTCGCAAACACTCACGCGGACGCGTGCTCTCGTTTTCCGAGTCGCACGTCACCACTTCCGCCACTATCGCCGCCGTAACATCGCTCCGCGATACGATTCGAGTCGAACGCGCCGAAATACACGCACCACATACGCTCTCGTATCCGGAGACACTCCGGCGGCGTGTCAACATTGAACAATCACACCGGCGTCCGAGGTAAACCCAATCGTTATAAATTAATTTCAGTATTAATCGTAACGTAGTCGTCTGTATAAATTTTATTGGGGGGGGGGGGAAACGAAAAATGTTAGCGCAGTTTTACCCATTTCGGTTTTCGACCGGTTTATTCCCGCCGCGAGAAAAACGATAAAACGGGCAATGACCGTGAATCACCCGGACCCTATGTATAATTTTATTGACAGTTCGAAAGTCCAATTCAATTTCAAACTTCGGGGTAAACTTTGTATACAGGTAAACGGCAATAAACTCGATCGGTCGGTGCTGGAACTTTCCGCGCTATCTTTCCATTAAAATCGGTCATTTTTTTTAAAAAAAAAAAAAAAAACATTGCTGCTGAAGAGAACTTTTTCGGGGGAAATCCGTTGGCGAGTCCGACGAATTCTTCTCCGCGAGTATAACCCGCGGCAGTGCATCGACATAAAGCATTAGGTTTTCTTTTCGACTTTCAATCCGGTTTTGTCGGGTTGGGGAGGGGGAAGGGTTCGGAAAAAAATGTTTCGAAAATAACTTATGTACACGCATACTAATCGTAATTCCTAACGAGTCGGACGGCTCCTCGAAAGCCAACCGCTTTTGTGCGATAATAATGCCGTAACGCGCCACGTGAATTAATCGGTGCGGAAATCCATTTCCGTCGCCGTATATCATTCGCGCGGGCACGTCACACCGCGGTACTTTTTTCGCCCCGGAAACGTAAGAAGAAAATCAAAAAATAAAAACAATAACGATAATAATGCCGGCGTGAATTTTTACCGTGTAGCCGTTTTCGCGGTTTCGTTCGCGCGGCGAGTTCTTCTCCGCCCTACGCGCGTAATTGTTTTTTTTTTTTCCCCCGGGTTTGAATACCGAAACCCGAGTATTAGACTTTTCGCGGACCGATCGGTCGCGCTCTGAGGGCTCGTGTAAACCTCGGCAGACATCGGACACGCGCTCGGCTGCACGCGCGTTCGAAATTATCGCGCGGTTATTATGCGACGCGACGATCCGCGACGATCCGACACCCGAAACGACTGGACGCCGACGTTCCGTTCGGTATTTTCAATATCCAATAACGTGTGAACGGTTGTCATGCCCGCGGCGCCGTGCGGTTCACGCGTTACGGGACACGTTACGGACAAATTTTAAAATTCCACCGCGATTTTTCGAACGGATTCAAATTGCCGTTTCGTAAATACGGATTTGCGGACAGTTTTCGGCGGTCGAAACGTTCGTTTCGGTACGGTCTTGTGTTCCCTACAATTGTTCGAAACTTTCGCGAACGTGAACATTCGGTATCCGCAGCGCATTATTGGACGGCTGCGATTTTCTTTGCCGTGAGTTGATATCGCGCGAGATATCAGCTCCCACTACTTTAGATTTAAAAAACTAAAAAAAAAATCCACGAAACGGATATTTTCGGTAAGTTCTATGTTCGCGACCATACTGTATAAACACCTGCCTAAAGATTTAACGATTCGAGGGAAAATTATTTTTACCCAGCCTAACATCAAGAGGAGAGCAATGGAAAAAAAATCTCGGTCCACTGTTTATACTATTACGAGGCATAATAATTTCCATTCTACGGTCCAAAGAATCGAACACAAAAGAAATTAAAAACGCGGAACATCGGCGGCTCTCCTACGTTTAATTTTCAGGACTCCTAAATTATTACAATGTTCGTGTTGTTTTAATCGAATCGTCATTCGTCAATTAGTTTCAATTTGAATATGTTTAAAACAAAAAATAAAAGCGATCGAAATAACCTGGGCCGGTGTTACGGTTTACAAGGCTCTGGGTAAATTTTTTTTGCGAGACCTTTTTTTCCAGCTTAATCTATACCGCTCCTCCAAGAGTGTGGCCAACCGCGTATTGCGCGCTGATTGGTTGACCTCGTTATCAGCGTTATCCATATTAATGGGCCGCCATTTTGTATCCGAATGTCTTATATCAATGTCTAAGTAGGAAAGAAAGATGGATTAATTAATGAATCCACCTTGTAGGAAGGTACACGTCTAAATTTTTTTTATAGTGACAATGTAGTTTTAATTGTTCTAATTGTTTTGGCAATTATACCG